AAAGCTGAGAAAATTTGCTACCAGACTTCCATTATAAAATATAAAAAACATTGAAGAAAAATGTCACAGATGAAAATTTGTATGTGGATAAAAGCAGTGAATAGTGCCAGAAGTAGTAAATAAGAGGGTAGAGATCAAATTTTTTTCCTAATTGAAATATCTTTAAAAGAAAATTAAAAGTTAAAAATATGAATGTAGTGAGGTTTATAAAATTTATAAAAAAGTAAAATGTATAAAAACAAGGATGGAAGGGTGATATGGAAGTATATATTGTTGATAATTCTTATAAGTAAAGTGATATAATATTTGAAGGAAGACTGATAAATTAAAGATATATATTTATAAACTCTCATATAACCACTGAAACAATAATACAAAAATGTACAGCCAATAATCCAATAGTGGAAATAAAATGGTAAACTGAAATATACTCAGTAAATCTGGAAGAATGATGGAAAAGATGAAGAAGAAAAAACTCAAAATAAATTACAAGGGAAATGAGAAAATAACATAAACAGAATGAAAATGAGAACATAACATTGAAATTTGTGAAATGGAGCTACAGTAATGTTTAGAGGGAAATTTTTAGCTTTACATGCATTTATTTGAAAATAAACAATGTTTAATCAATAATCTAGGCTTCCAATTTGAGAAGTTAGAAAGAAAATGTTAAATCCACTCAGCAGAGGTGTGGAAACAATAAAGATAAATATAGAAAACAATAAAATATTAAATGGGAAAACAATAGAAAAAAATCACTGGTACCAAAAGCTAATTTAAAAAAATAGCAAAAGTGATAGACATCTAGCTAGACTTACCAGGAAATTGAGGACACAAATTGCCAATTACCAGATAACATAAATATTTAAGGAATAGTTAGGTAATATTATAGACAACTCTGAGGCCATAAAAATTAGTAAGTGAATGCATTTTATTGTATGTAAATTATATCTCAGTAAAAGTGATTGAAAAAAACAAAATGAGTAATTTCAGTTGCTATGATTGAGTTTTCATCTAGTTACAAGCTATGTCATTTAATCTAATAATAAAATGGTGATATAAGTTAGTGATTTGGAGTTTATACTTTACACAGAGACTACCATCTTTGAATTATGGTTCAGTCAATTAGTAAGTATATGACTAGGTAAATTACTTAACTACTACTATGTAAACTGCTAGGTCTCCCAGGCGGCTCAATGGTAAAGATCCTGCCTACCAATGCAGGAGACACAGGAGACATGGGTTCGATCCTTGGGTTGGGAAGATCTCCTGGAGGAGAAAATGACAACTCATTCCAATATTCTTGCCTGGGAAATCTCAAGGACAAAGGAGCCTGACCAGCTGCAGTCCATGGTGTTGCAGAGTTGCACATGACTTAGCAACTAAACAACAACGGCAATGTAAGCGCACACAGACTGGGAATTTGTTTTGTTCACTTAGATGATTTCTTAACATATGGTAGGCAACCAGTAAATATTTGTTCTTAAACTCTAGTTGACAGATGAAATTGGCAAGGAAGAGATTTACCTGACTTTTAAAGGTTATCAGGAAGGGAGAAACTCAGAATCTGACTTAAGTCTGCCAGATTCCAAAATTAGTGTCTTTCTCCTGCTGCTATGTCAGACAAGTAAGAAACCTTAAAAAGAAACTTAAAAAGAGTAAGTCAAAAGAACCTGATAGGTAACTATGCATGTGTCTTTGAAAGCCCTTATAAGAAAAGGAAATTATACTTCTTTTGATTACCAAATTAATCCTTGAAACTGTGACCTCTCTCACTTTAAATAGAACTGCTATTGTAGAATGGAAAGAAAGCAGGGATCATTTTTCTTTTTTCAATACTTTCATTTACTGCTGCTGCTTAAATTGTACAGCTGAGAGCTCAGATGCAAGTACTCAGGGTTGTATGGGCAGTGGGGCCTGCTGGCTAGGCTGTGCATTTAAGCGGATTGCTGGGTAGTGTGTGTGGTCGGGCAGGGCTGTGGCCTGGGCTCCAAGGCTGCCCAGGGTACTGTTCGGCCTCCCTGGTTAAGCAGGGTCAGAAGCTTTACTTCGCAGCTGGGCAGGGCTGCTGGCTTAGATCTTTGCTGGAGCCGGGCTACAGGATGGGCTCTGTTTCTTGGCCATGCCTGCTGGATAGATGGACTGGAGGTTATGCTCAACAACTGGGCGGGTGTGCAAATGCGCTTCGCAGCCCTTGCAGGGTGGTAGAATGGGCTGTACTCCTTGAATGGGCCTGTTATCTAGGCACCCAAATCAGGCAGAACTGCCCATTAACCTAAAAAAAGAGGTAAGCTGAGGTAAACTCAAATTACCAGAAATTGTATTCGGGAACAACAGAGGACTTCTTCCCAGGTGACGCTAGTGGTAAAGAACCTGCCTGCCATTGCAGGACACCTCGATCCCTGGATTGGGAAAGATCCCCTGGAGGAGGGTAAGGCAACCCACTCCAGTATTCTTGCCTGGAGAATCCCCTGGACAGAGGAGCCTGGCGGGCTACGGTGCATAGAGTCGCAACGAGTCGGACATGACTGAAACGACCTAGCACAGAACAGCAGAGGAATTGCAATTCGGAAAACACAAACTGTAGCAAGCTACAGGTGGGTCTGTTGAAGGTTTGGGGCGGCCTGTGTTAATGAGGAAGGCATGCAAAGAGTCGGGGGCGTGCAGTTAGCGTTCAAGCATCAAATTCATTGGCTTGAGTGCAGGGTGAGATTCTTGTGGATGCTCATTGATCGGGAGATAAGTTACGGGTTTCTGTAAGTCAGGTATTTGAGAGAAACCATTGTTTCGGTTAAGTTTCGTTTTCTCGTGGGTGCATACTTGAGATTCTCCATTTCTTATCTCCGGTTCCATTTTAGATTGAAGTCCCTTTGCATGCCGGATTAGCTTGCTGACCAGACGGGCCACCAGCTTGACTTTGCAGATAGGCAGAGCCACTGGCTAAGATTTCTGCTCTGATGCCACTTCAAGCAGGAGTGTGGTCCACCAAGGTCAGATGGATGTAAGTCCCGCCCTTTCCCCCATCTTTATCAGATCCGGAAGCTGAGCCCTACTGATTAGTCCTGTAATTCCTGAGAGGTGAGACCTGAGTGCCCCTCCTGGGAGCTCCCCTGCAGTGCTGGGGGGTCTGAGGGGGTCCGCCTTGGTCTCTCATTTCCCCCGCAGAAACAGTAAGCCCACGGGGGCCCTCTCAGGTCGGCACTGTGTCAGTCTGGGGGAGCGGTGATGTGGTCAGAGTGTAGCCTCTCTTCTCACCCTTTTAATGCTGTCCTTCTTGATCTGTGTGGTCCAGGCGGGTGCTTCAGGCTCACCTCTGGGTTTTGGGGTTTCACAATGGTGTTTTATCTACAAATAATTGCTAGTTCTTGCAAGAGGAACAGGAGTCAGGATCAATTGATAGCACTATCTTGATATCTCCAAACTTACTTTGAAAAGACACTATCAAGTAAAGGAAAAAGAAACCCATAGGCTGAGAGAAAATATTTATAAAATGGATAGCTGATAAATTGTATCCAGAATAAAGAGAAAACTTTTCACAACCCAATAATAAGATAACTCAGGTTTTTTTAATGGAATAAGATATTAATGGATGTTTCATCAAAAACGTGTACAAATGGCAAAAACACATGTGAAAAGAGGCTCAATATCATTAATCATCAGGGGAATACAGTGAGATGCCACTTCCCACCTAGTGGAATGACTAAAATTTAAAATGTCTAAAATAACAAGCGTTGGTGAGGATGAGGAGCAACTATAACACTCATACATTGCTGTGGAAATGCAAGCTGGTGCAGCCATAATGCAGTGTCCTGCTCTTCCACAGTGCCCTGCCATGCATCTGCTGAGCATCCAAAGTACTATTTCTTAGGTTATTGAGAAATGAATCACAAAAGTGACTTGGGACAAAATCCCATGTCCTTTACATTATTCAGAATGTTGCAAGGACAATAAACATGGATTACAAAGAAGCGCCAGTCTCCAAAGCACCAGGTATCCAAAGCCCAACTTGAAGAGTCCCGTTGTATAGGTCTCATGGGCTCCCTACCAGGGGATTCCACATGCTATTTTACTTTGAGCTTTCTTTATGCAGGGGATACACACAGCAGGGAAGCTCTGGGGATTTATCCTGATAGTCTCCTGTTACTTCTTTTTCTGTAAGTAACTTTTAGTATCTTAAAAGCATGGGTTTTGTATAGCACTAAAAGAAGTGTGGGCCCCTACACCTTGAATGTGTAGCTCAACATCCATCCAAGTATGGTTTCCAGAGGTATCTTCTCTTCTGAATTGGCTTTAACCACTCTGAGGGCAGCGGTTATTCCTGTTATATTTATTGCTAACTTTTGTAGTACCAAGCCTAGTACCATGACTATAGTAGAGACTAAACTATATGTTTAAGAGATATTTTAAAGATGAAGTTGAGAGACTGTCAAAGGCATGGATATATTTCCCAGAGTCCAGCTTACTACATGGTTCAGTGAGAGTCTGAGGTGGAACACGAGAAACTCCATGCAGTTGAGGGCAGGTATGTAGGCCAGTAGAGGGTCTAGCTGCTTTTAGGCAAGCTTGTGGATGATCCCTTTAGTCCTGCAGACTGAGCTGGTCTGTGGGAGATTCCATGAGGTTCCTAAGATATTTAATAGCTTCAGAGTGAACTCTTGAGACTCACCTCTTGATTGTGAGCAGACGGAACAAGTTTGTGTTGGGAGCTTCCCAGAGGCTCTTATGTCTCCTACATTGGCAGATGGGTTCTTTGCCACTAGTGCCACTGTAGAAACGCACAAAAATGAAGAGGGATTTAAAAAATTTAGCCAATTATTTATGCATTTATTTATTTTCTGAATGTGAGATATTCCCTGTCTATGGATGTTTCTTTCTGTCTGTCTGTCTGTCTATAGCTTTTTTTTTTTTTTTAGAAAAAACGCACGGTTTTATTATTTCAACTACAGAGGGCAGGTCTTTGCAAAACCAGTGGGCAAGTTCTGACAGCAGGGAGGAGGCCCCTACTTGCCAGCGATGAGCGGGTTCCTCAGGACCACAATGACAGAGTCCCCACGCAGGAACATCTTGGAGATGTAGCGGTCCTTGTTGACTGGCTTGGACTTCTTCTTGCCTTTGCCGCCCTTGGGGACCTCCGTCCACATTTCTTTCACGTTCTCCAGCACCATGTTGCAGTGCCTGTCGAAGGCCTTCACGCGGCCCAGGAGCTTCTTGTTGTTACGGCAGTTGATGAGCACTTGAGTGTTGTTTTTGACTGACTGCGTGAGCACGGAGAGTGGCCCCGTGTTAAACTCCTCCTCCTCCCGCTTCTGCAGCTCCTCTGGGTCATCTCACTCTTGGGCTTGTTGAGGAGACTCCTTCTCCTACGCGGTGTGCCTTCCGAACCTGTCTATAGCTTTGACTAGACAGACCTTTGTTGGCAAAGTAATGTCTCTGCTTTTTAATACACTGTCTAGATTTGTCATAGCTTTTCTTCCAAGGAGCAAGTATCTTTTAATTTCGTGGCTGCAGTCACCATCTGCAGTGATTTTGGAGCCCAAGAAAATAAAGTCTGTCACTGTTTCCATTGTTTCTCCATCTATTTGCCATGAAGTGACAAATACTAGCATAATTTTGGCAAATTTTCTTTGTTCTTTGCATGTATCAAATACAGTTGAGTTGATAAGTTTATTGATAATTCTGAATCCTTATGTTCCAGTTATCATTATGTCAATAATTTCTTATATTATTAAAAACTCATTATTAAGCTCATTTTAATAGATGCACAAAATCCTATTGTAGTATATTCTATTGCTAATTTAATTAGTCCCCCAACATGGGATATCCTGGTTATTTCCTCTCTTTCATCATCATAAGGTATCCGAGTTAATTCAACTTTATTCCATAGTCATTTTTCATTATTATTTTGACCTAACCTGAGCTTTGAAAGATTATTTAAAATGGTCTCTTAACTTCCAGGTTTCCCTGCTTCTCCATTTAGCCACTTCCTCTCTATATTGTCCTAAGAACCTTGAACAATCTTCTCTCCACAGACACACTTCAATCTTGCATTCCAGTAAATGCCTTCTGATTCTCTTATTGATCTCTCTCCTGACAGGTTGGTAGGTAGGTAGGCAGAGGATGAGATGGTTGGACGGCATCACTGACACAAAAGATGTGTTTGAGCAAGCTCCGGGAGTTGGTGATGGACAGGGAGACCTGGTGTGCTGAAGTCTATGGGGTCACAAAGAGTGGGACATGACTGAGCGACTGAACAACAATGTTAGTATTTGCTTGGGGAGTGGGATTGTAGGAAAACGGTTTTTGCATTTATTGATATGTTCTTGCCTAAAGTGTCTAATTTTTCTACACTGACCATATTATTTATCATTAGAGTTAAAATTAAAGGAGAAAAAACTCATGGTTTCAAGTAGTAAAAAAAAAAATAGAATAGTTAATCAAGGACAAGGTGAAGTTTTTTCCTGAAGAAAATATCAGCTACATTTTTTTCTCTTTGTGAACTGCTCAGTGTCTCATAGTAGAATATTTGCAATAAAGCCTTAATGCCTGACTGACTGGGTAACTGGCAGTTTTTAAAAAGTTCTGTCATGCCGTCAGAGAAGTGTGCACTTTCTTCCAGCATGACATGTTGTAAATGAGGATGGATGGCTATTTTCTTAAACGATTCTGAGATAGGTTTGGCTCTTAATTTTTTTTTTAATCAAATTTTGAATTTTTCACATATACCATGAGAAATCTTTCAGGCCCTTAGAATATTCACAAAAAATCATCCTGAGTAAAACAATCTCTTCCTTAGAAGAAAACATGCTGCTTACCCACACAGATTCCCTTTTAAACTCCACAAATATTCATGACCACCACTGAAGCATCTCTTTACAGAGTTCTCAACCATCATTTTGTAGGTTAATAAAACTCTAGGGTTGATATTTGATTTTTATTTATTTTGTAGAAATATTCAAAAGGATGGAGCCAGTGTCTCCTGTTTCTTGTATTATGTGGCTTGTTGACATTTGAAATTTCAAAGCATCAAGGATTTCTCCAATGTGACTCATTTGAATCAATTGTTTTTTTTTCCTCTCTGAATGATGGGCTGCTGATTCAGAACGATAGGATAAAATTAGAATTGCCAATATTTTATTGTCTACTTTTAAAAAAGCTGTTCTTTCATTTTTGACATCAGTTGCAAGCTAATTTGATTATTCAGTTTATTTCAGAACTTTTATTTGTGTTTTAATTTTATTCTTACGAACAAATAGCCTGAAGTACATTGATGAAATATGTGTTGGAAATGGTACCATTCAGGGACTCTGGCTATGTTGGTCATAGTGTTATCTGTATCACTGATTTCCTCGGTAGGCTGGGCTCTAAGGTTGGGTCTTGGTTTTTGTACCAGTAACATGAGAAGTGTTGGATTATCCTATAGTCAGGATAGGCTAAGTTATGCTATAGTAATAAAGAACACTTATATCACAAGGCTTGAAACAATCAGAATTTATATCTTGCTTCTATGATTGGTAGCCATCATGAATCAATTGGATCTCTGCTTCCAAGTTATCATCATTCTCAGGCTGATAGAACAGCCAGCACCTGAAACATTGCTGTGGCCATGCAGTAGAAGAGAAGATGGTGAAGCATGGATCGGCTCTTAAAGCCTTTGCCCCCAAATGACACGTTTCACTTTCTTTCATATTGTATTGATCAAAACTAGTCTTATGGCCAAGTCTTACTTCAAGAAAGGGAAATTAGGTATTGGTAAAACTGAGTGTAATTGATAGGTAATCTGTAAAAGTCCTTTAATTCCTAGGAGTCTATGTTTTTAAAGTGCATTGAGAGTGGTTATGACACACTTTTGTTTTGAGAACAAATATGTGCTTTGCAGCAAAGACGGGTAATATTTTGGGAGAAAATTTTATTGAGATAATTGTAGATTCAAATGTAAGGATAAGAGATAATACAAAGAGATCTGTGTATATTTCACACAGTTTCCCCTAGGAGTAATATTTTACAAAACTATAGTATGCTATCACAGCTAGGATTCTGAAGATGATGCAATCCATCTATTTTATTAAGATTTTCTAGTTTCACTTTTACTCATATTTTTAAATGTGTATTTAGTTCTCTGCAGTTTTATCAAATGCATCAGTTCAGGTATTCTCCACCGTAGTCAGAGTACTAAGTTCCAATGTCACAAGAAACCTTCGTATTGACTTTTTATAACCATACCCATCTCTTCCTACCATCATTATCTTTACCACTTGTGTTCTCCATTTCAAAAATTTTGTCATTTCAATAATTCTATTTGTTAGAAAATGTTTTTATTTCTCTGAGGTAAATACTCAAGAGTGAAGTTGCTGTGTAAAATGGTAATTGCGTTTTTAGTTTTATAAGAAACTGCCAAACTGTTTTCTAGAATAGCTATACCATTTTACATTCCCACCAGCAATATATACAAGAGCCACCAAATGCTTGCCTGCATCTTGTATTGTCATTATTCTTTATTTATCAGCCATTCTGACAGATGAGTAGTGATATCACACTGTGGTTTTAATTTGAATTTCCTTCATAGCTAACGATATTGAAAATCTTTCCAAGTGCTTATTTACCATTTGCATATCTACATTTGTGCAGCATCTATTGAAGTCTTTTGCCCATTCTTTATTGAATTTTTTTTCTTACTGTTGAGTTTGAGAATTATTTGCATATTCCAGATACAAGTTTTTCGTCAGGTATGTTCTCCCAATCTATTACTTGATTTTTAATTTTCACTGCAGTCTTTTGCAAAACTGAAATTTTAATTTTGATGACACCTAGTTTATTATTTTTTTCCCTTTTGTGGATTATGCTCTTGGTGTCATCTGAGAAATCTTTGCCTGTCCCTACATCTAAAAGACTATCTCCTCTGTTCTAATGAGTCTGACTCCAGGACAAAATCCTATGTGTAGTCTTTTAGACCCAACCATTGACAATTACAGGGTTGTGTGTGACTGGCAGCCTACATGGGGAGGAAATTGCTGTCCCTACAGCAGCTGGCACGCAGCCAGTGCACTCTAGTTTTCTTGAGGGAGTTGCTGTCAAGGCCCCCATTGGTCAGCTATGCTCATATGAATTTCTGCATTTCTAGCCCAGGCATCTCCAGTCAAGGCGTCTTTAATTGGCAGCTTGGCTGAGACCCTTCCCAGACACCTCTGCTGAGACCTCTTTATTGAGCTCCTTGGCTGAGTTACATTTCTCCACTTTGCCTCAGTAACTTTCTACTCCTAGACTTTCTCTTCTCTCCCCAGCCCAATGAATCTGTAAAAAGGCAAGAACTTGTTGTTGTTCAGGACTCCTGAGCAGTGACATGACTTTCTCAGGCTAAGCAGGATGCGCTTGACCCTCAGCTTGGGCCATTTCATGGATGAAAATATGGCACTAGGGAACCAGCACTTTTTGATTATGTTGTCACATTAAGTAAATAAAAGATTGAGTTTTACTCTTGGTTTCATTATCCTATTTGAGCACCTCAATGTCTGATTTCTTGACATTTTATTTCTTTCTTAAAGATCACATGATTAGTATTTATATTTAATTGTGTGATTCTTTTGAGTTGTGTAGTATAAGGTGGGAATTCTCTCTTTTTTTGTGTCTATATATATCCAGTTGCCTCAGTACCATATTTTGTAAAAATCTATTCTTCCTCCTTTGAATTGCTTTTGCATCTAAGTGAAAAATTGGTTGAGCATATTTGTCATTTGTGAGTCTGTTTCTGGATTTTTTATTTTGTTGCATTGATCTGTGTTCCATTGGTTTGTGTATCCTTCTGCCAAGACTACATTGTCTTGGTTACTTGTAGTTATATAGTCAGCTTTAATATCAGGTAAATTCTTTCACTGTATTCTTTGCCAACAATATTTTAACTATTCTAGTGCCTGTGTTCTTTTATATACTTGTTAGAATAATCTTGTCTGTCTACATAAAAATATTACTGATGTTTTGATATGAATTGTATTATACATATAAGTCACTTTGGTAGAGAATTGATACCTTTATGTTGAATCTTCCAATTCATGAATATAGTATGTCTCTCTATTTATTTAGGTCTTCTTTGATTTCATGAGCATTTTGTAATTCTCTGCATACAGGTCCTATACATGTTTTGTTAATTCTGTACCTAAAAAATAATTTCCTT